TGGGGTCCCCTGTGTCCACTGCGCTCTATTTCGTCCTGAATGAGGACTGTACAAAAGTCAGGGTTTCCCTGCTCCCCCCGCCCCACCACTCGCATTGGGGATCCTCACATGACAAATCCACACTGGGACCATGTCTCAGGACACTTTGCTGGCTGCAGACGGAAGCTGTGATATCCAAATCAAATTTTTATCATAAAGTGCTGGCTCTCGTGACCTCCAACCAACCCCTGATCCTGCCCAGATTCAGTTTCCCAGAAGCTCTCCTGGCATCTCTCTGCTCAGCCCAGCGGCGGATCAGGACCCGCAGCGCTAGCGTTCAGCACTCACGCCTGGTCGGGTTTGCAGGTAAGGATGCTATCTAAAAAATAAAACACCCACCGATAGATATCCACGTCCCACCCCAAGCTAGCAGAACACCTCTGTCCAGACTGTTCTCAACCCATAAGCTAGGGGATGACCTCCAACCCCAACCCCAGATTCTCGAATCCTGAACCCATCCCTGAAACAGCACCAAAGTTTGAGACAGCGCTCACTTCCCGGAAAATAAAAATATCAATTGTCTCTTTTTAAACCTCTATAGTATTTTGTCAATATTTTTTTTATTACAGTGGAGAATGTATAAATATTTTATTATAAACCAAAGGCCTAAAATAAACAGTTTAGTAAATAGTTATTACATTACAAGGAAAAACATCTGTGGAAACTGCTTTCCATGTAATTATTCTTGCTATTTTACATTAGCGCTCAACGTGAATTTCTTTGGCACTAATGTTTCACTTGTTCTAAATCTTCCTCCTTGTTGCTATTATTAAAATCTTAAAAAGGTGCCAAATCTTAAATGAAGGAAAAAAAAATGATTCACTAGAAATTATTCATATCACAGTGAGCCGCTACTAAACCTGGCAGGGGTGCAGTATTTTCGGTGAAATTAACATAAAATATACAACTGCAAATTATCCAGGAAATAGCTATGTTCTTTACGGCATGCTTTTACATTCGGGGGGGAGAAAAAATGTTCTCCTTCTCCATCGAGCACAAAGCCATTCCGGCAAGTTTTAAAGGGAAAGTAATAGATTTGTCAAAGGAGCCCGGGATTGCAAACAGTCGAAGGAATAGCTCACGGGTGGATCAGCCTTAGGTAATTACCAGAGACAACGCCAGGCCTGGCCGGCCGGGGTGCAAAAGGCAAGAAAAACAACAGCCGGCAGCCTCCTTCCTGCTCCACGCCACAGAATCTATTTCCTCAGGAAGGCCTCAGCCCTTTCTCCTAAACACAAGAAAAACTGTAACACCATGTAAAATGCAAATCTCGCTGTAAATATTTTATAAAATTGTTGCATACATCCCAAAAGCTATAGGTCTTAATTGAGAGCAGGCGATTTTTCTAGTCAATATATGGAAATGGAAAATGCTAATTTGTGTTTTTCTACTTATGAAAAACCCTGGAGAACAGCAAGCCACAAATGCACTCACTTTAATATTATAAATATAATTTGGCTCCTCTTTACCATCCCCACAGCCCTGGCTTTTATCTCCCTGTGGCTGCAGGAGGGGAGA